CAGTAACTATGGATAAAAATATTATACGTGAGAGAAAAAAAAAACACATTTTGGAATAGTGTGGATTGTTTTAGGTTTTGCACATGAAATGTTTCGTTTGGAATTTGGAGATCTCAATTTTAGGGATATGATTAATATATGTAGTCTTAGTCATACCCCCAACCTGAATTATTGCTGCATTTTATTAAGTTTCTTTTGTATCATTAATCAGTAAATTTATAATAATTCGATACATGTAACTAGAGTTTTTGCCAGAAAATATTGTTATTTATATTTAAAAATACAGACATGCTCTAAAGAGAGACTAAGAATTACCAACTCTTCACCCAAAATGTGACATATTGTTTTGAGTATGTTAATGTTTTTAATTGCGTATTATATTTTTATTCTAAATGTTTAGTAAAAATTAGTATCATTAAGTCAGTTTAGATTTCAAATCTCAAATATAACATTTTATAAAGTGTAGTTAAACATCATTTCTGTACAATAGGTTTATGCAACAATTTATTTCGAAAATAAAGAAAATAAAAAGACTTTTTTCGTGTTTGATAATGGAATGAACAGTTATAAATAATTAGATATCAACAAAATAATTAGTAAGAAGTCAATTATTAGTTGGTGTTTCATTACTTGCGTGCACGATAAAGGAAGCATTCATTTTCACGATATTGGAAGATAAAAGTTGAACAAAAAAGATATTGGAAAATAAAAACTGATACGACTTCGTATGAAGAAACATGAGAAACCAAAACATAGAAGTTTCAGAAATATATCGCGAGGTCCCATGCAAAGCAAAGGCACGTGCGTCTGATTTGCATCAAAGTTTGTGGAGAAATTTTTTACTACCTTTTTGTGATATGTTTTTTTTTTTTGCTAAACACCTTTTTGTGATATGTTCATTTTTCAATTTCCATTAATTAAAAAGAAAACCCGTAAATTTTACAAATACAAGAATGCAAATGCTGTTTAAAAAAGAAAAAATCAATATCGTTTTGCTTAAAGTAAACAAGACTAATAAAATCATCGAAAAAATCACATGTCATTATGTATTCATTTACATCAAAGTAAAAATAATTTAGTTTAAAAAAAAAAATTTAGTTTTTTCCCACCTAAGTAATAGTTTATGAAAGATCAAACTAACAACTATATGACATTTTATTACATGCAAATAGTTTTATTAGAGATTTGATAAGCTTCAAAATATTTAAGAGTTCAAAATCTTGCAAAAACGTCACTCTCTTTGTTTAGAAAGTTGAATTAGGTTTTACAAAACTACGCATTTTTTCTTCTTCTAATCAAGACACTTCATTTGAAGAGATTACATTTTGAATGTTATTATAGGTTTTTAAATTGAAACGGAAAAATAAAAATAAACGACACATAGTTTATAAAGAAAAGCTTTATTTACAATCTTATATATACTGTATAGTTGGAATGGAAAATCATAAATTAACTCAAAATGGTTGGTTTTGAAATATGGATACATATTATCTTAATTAATGATGTTACATGGAGAAAGTTTAGGTTCTAAGAATTAAATAGTGGGTAGTTTAATGGTCAGTTTTCTCTATTTAGTCTAAATCACAAAATTGATTGTCCATAGACAATTTAGTACAAATTTTAATTACGATGACATC